GCCAAGGGCACAGTTGTGCCGAAATGTGTCAGTTCTTTAAACTTCTTTTCTTCGTTTTTTTTTTCCTGTGGCTGTGTGTCTGTTTTGTTTTCGTTCTGTGGCTGTGCGCGTTAGTACCATCCAGTCCGCATGGTATGACCTGCCCCACAAGGTACCGCCCAGTCCACATGATACCACCTGGCCCACATGGTATCACCCACACCACATGACGCCTCCCGCGCACATGATACCATGCGGCCATATGCCACATACAGTGACTAGAAGAGAAATACCATGTTTGATCTTCAACCATCTAACAGGTTGGGAAGAAGTGCTCAGACAACCATTATTCTGTAATGCAAGCATTAAGGATGGACAGGGAAAACCGCTGTCGCTTTCAAGAACAGACACGAGGTAGGGTAGATGGTTGGAGCAGGGGTATGGCAGGTTAAGCACCTCTGGGATGAAGGGGAAAGGAGATGGAAAACGGTTGCGGATCTGAGGAGACAACTGAAAGGATGTCACAAGCTGCAGGAAAATCTGGGATTGGTTATAGAAGCCATACCGCAAGCATGGATGCAGCTATTGCTTGCCGGAAAACAATGGAGCATGGGGGATTGGGCTACATGGGAAGATGATCACAAACCCAAAGAGGTCTTCAGAGTTTGGGGCACGGAAAATTCCAGGCCTGATTGGCTAGTAGCGGATAAGTATGATATACTTCAGCCACTCAACACCACCACATCCCAATTGGATATGACGAGCAAAGCACCGTTGTACATTCTTAAACAGTATTTGAGGAAGGTGAGAGTGATAGAGACAGAGGAGTTTACGGTATACAACTCAGCAGTGCCAATTGAGGAACTGGAAGTAGACCCGGTAGAATGGGCATGGAACATCAGAAGTGGTCAAACACGGGTATGCAGGAGAGTAAATATTCTGCATTACACTACGAGAATTGGGTACAGGTTGAGAAACAGATCTCACTCCATGACACTGACTCTGCTCAAGCGATGGGAGAAGAGAGTGGGGGTTCCCAGAGGTGAATTGTCAAGATTTTCATGGGCAAACATAGGGGCCATAAGATTGGGTCAAGTCAGGAGTATGCAGTGGCTAATAGCTCATGTTGCGCTCCCAGTGAATGTCTGGCTCAATGAAAGAAGAAGCCACAGGCAGAGGAGCGCGGAAAGTGAGATGTGCAGGGTATGCCAAGAAGGAATTCCAGAAACAATGCTGCATTGCTTGCTGGAGTGCCCAGAGGCAGGGGCGATGTGGGATGAAGTCAGAGGGATCTGGCGGCAAATAGCTGGTTTTGCTTTCCCGGCCTCAAAGATCGCATTGCTGCTGGGGGTAGGGGTGCCCAAGCAGTGGCAACCCTTGCAAAAGCATATATTTCAGTTGTTACGCCAATATGGTCTATGGACCATTTGGAAGCGTCGATGCCAGGCCACAATTGAGGGAACATTAATGCATAAACAGGAGTCCAGGGAGATTTTTCTAACGCTCATTGAAACACATCTCAAGGCCCAGTGGAAAGTGGTGAGGCAGCAGGCACGGCAACAGCCAGAGCAAGAAGAGGAGATCATGAAGAGATTCAAACAAAACATACCAGGACAGGGGGCAGTAGCAAACATCCAAGGAGCACAATTAGTATTTAAATGGAGGGGGGAGTGAGGAGGATATCAGGCCAGGAGGATAGAGAGGGATATAGGGAAGAAGAGTTCATAAGAAGACTCAGGGTTTATCAGGCCAAAGAGGATAGGGAGGGGTTTAGGGTTTCAAAATAGAAAGTAAGACTCTGAGCTTAAAGGGAAGTAGTCAGAAGGGAAGGGAGACAGTGTAGAGTTCAGGGCAGATAGACAAATAAGACAGAATGGAAATGGGAAAGGTCAAAGGACTCGGTAGGGTTTTAGAGTTCAAAGGAGGTTTTAGGGTTTAAAGAGGTAAAGTGGGAGGGGAGCAGGGGGGGTGCAGAATTCAGGGGAGATAGACAAATAAGGCAGAATGGAAATGGGAAGAAAGAGGTAGGGTTTTAGAGTTGAAAGGAGGGCTTAGGGTTTAAAAGCGGTAAGGTGAGACGGGAGTAGGGGGCGTGCAGAATTCAGGGATAGCTAGATAGATAACGGAATGGGTAACATAGGGAGTATATGGTAACATGGGGAGAGGCGGCCATAGGATCACGGTAAGTGGAAGGCGGTATGCGAAATAGGTAATGTAGAAGATTCAGGGTTGGGAAAAAAAAAAAAAAAAAAAAAAACACCAAACTGCCCTGAATATCAGCTCTAGCATCCAGGTTCTTCTGACAGCACTCAGCTGAGAGGAGCTTGGAGCCAGGCAGCTCAGAGAATCAGAAGTTAGAGAATATAGGTTAACTTAGGCAGGGGTGAGGGGTGGTACATCCTTCCCAAGGGAAGTAATCAATGCTGTCCACT